CAAATTATCCCACAAAGCGCCTTCCAAATTTTAAGGAGATAAGCAAAATTTAAATATTTAATTGGTAGTAACTAATGTATTTGCTTAAAATAGGCCAAATGTATTAAATAATAATTATATTCTATATGGATATATTTATTCTGAATCTGTTTTATAAAATGTATATAGTATATTTCTGTTTGTTTTTGCTAACTCAACACATTTTACTTAACAATTAAGATTTACAGTTGTTTTATCTTTGCTTTTACGCTATTTAGTATTAAATTGATAAACCAGAAAATCTGAGATCTGATAATGTTCCAGATTAATGATACAGGAAACTGTATTGACTCCAATGGGGGAGGGAATCTAATGCCAAATATTAAAATGCAGTTGCTTGTTTTTTCTATTATGTGAATTGGGGAATAGGATGTCAAATATATATATATATATATTTGCACAATTGCATTCCAATGTTTTAAAGCTCATTATCCACCAAAACACATACACAACTGTGTACTATCGCACTCATGCATTACTAAGAGACCACCAAGATGTCACTGTCGTTTGTACACTGTAATCTGATCCACTGGGTCTAAAGCATCCAGTCTGCACTGGTGAATTGGACCACTTGACATCACCCATCATCATTCACCGTCTGGAAGATCACATGTCCCTAAGCATGGAACTCTAGAGCAAATCTTGTCAATGATCACAATGGTATAAATTTTTTAGTGGATGATAAATTTTTAAAAAATCTTCAGAACAATTCTTCTGCAATTCAGACTTCTGATAAAAGGATCTGCTGTATTTTTGATCATTCTATAATTTATCGAATGTCATATCCTTGATCAACAGTGCACATCCCAATTATGCCACTGTTCTTATATAAAAATAGGATACACTCATTGTGACTTCCAGAAACATACTAAAGAAAAGGCAAAGTCTGCCTATATTTCTTTCTTTAATTAGATAAGTTTATCTCGTTAAATGTACCAAAATTTAAATTTAAATGTACCAAAGAAGTTTCACATTTTGGATCAACCCCATTAGCATAGGATCGAGCTGCCAAAATGAAGTGAACTTTCCTAAATTTTAGTTTAACAAAGACTGACATCCTATATTATAATCACTGAAAACAATGAAGTGTTCAGTAATGTGTCACAGTTACTTGACAGTTGACATGTAATAATACCTGTCCTCTCCTTAGATCTTCACTTGGGGGAAAGAAAAAAACCTGAAAGGTGGTAAAAATGAAACAGGACAAGTAAAAGAAACTTAATAAAACATTTTTTTGCAAAATCAATGATCATACTTTTAATATTTTTCCCTACAGATGAAATATAAGAAACCTAATATTGATACAGAACTACAGAATCCAATGTAATCTTTGAGGTTAAAAATGGCTGTACATCCACTGAAGATGGTTTCTAACACAAGGGTCTCATTTCTTATAAAGAAAATATTTATGTATTGATAGTTACTATGTTTCAATGCATTATGGGTACTTGTCATTTAAATATTCAAGGTGGATATTTTTATACATTTCTATAAAGCAAAAATAACCTCCTTAATTTTATTTTTGAAAATTGTTCATATTTAACTTTATTTTCATTTATCCTTACTCTACTGAAGCTGAGAAAAATGTGTCACTTTAGGTCAAGCTTATGATCCAGTACATGTTGTCCCTGACAGCAGTGGCAAGGAATTTGTAGAACAGAACAGCCACAATTCTCTGAAACCCATCTCCTAAACAGTTCAATATTCAAAAACATACTAGCATCTTTAACTCATTAAAGAGTTCTGAATTCACCTGGACACTTTAGGAAGCTATTTTGTTTTTAATTTTGTACCAACCTTGACTTTGCTTACATAGTAATTCCTTTATTATCCTAAGTTTGCTTCTTTAAACATTTGGCCTTGTTCTAGCCTACCATGTTCTGACCCATGTTTGAGTTCAACCACAAGGGTTTTTTTTGTTGTTGTTTTGTTTTGAGCACCATGAGACCCATGTGAGGTCTTAAAGCAGGAAGGCCAGGTAAAGGAATGAAGAAACTGTCTGTACTTATGGTGAGGTACTCAGGTCTTCTAAAATTGTTCATGTTTCAATGTAAGACTAAAATGATCAGAAAAGAGATAAGACTGATAATCACCCTACTCCTAAACTTCATAATTCATTCAGCGGACATCTACTGGGTCCACAATCTGTATGTGCCAGGTACTGTGTTAAGTGCTGAGGATACAGAGAAATAAATTTCTGCTTGCAAGAGTGCTACTAGGGATGAGACCATAAATGTAAATTCCTATAGAGACCAACCCTGAAATCTTTTAGCCTGGAGAGGAAAATTTTTATGTATTTACTCAAGTAAATGGATATTTTTTAAAAATGACTTTACTCTGGTAAAATACAATCATTTTCTGCCAAGAATTTACTGGGGAGGAGATGGCATAATAATAGTAGGCATAATATTAAGTCCAATATTAGACTTTTGAATGAAAATTCTCAACCTTTTCCTTACTGGCTTCAATAATTTCAAATTTGTATCAAAAGTAATTTACTTGAAACAGCTGAACAACCAAAGGCAACAAAATATCCAAAGGCAATTTGTTGAAATCTAGTTTTAATAAATCTAGGCAACACTGGCTCTATTTGACATACCTTATGCCAGAATATCAAGAAAATTCTTTAAAAATGGCAAATTGTGTAATCCTATCTGCCAGGTTCTGGAAACCATGACAGTAACTGAAATAACTAGGCTTTAACAAATGAAACCTCTTATAATACCATAATTGTTTCTGAAAGACACATGACCTCTAACTACTGGCTTATTTATTTATACTCTGAATTTTTCCACAAAGGATTTGAAGCAGCTACCCTAATATAAAGCAAAGCACATAAATTATATTCACCTGGCTTTGAATTATGGCTCTGCCATTCACTATTTATAATCTTTGTGCCCTTAACTTCTGAGATTCAATTTCTTAATCTGTAACAATGGGGACCATAATCCTCTGTTGGATTATAAGAAGGGTAAAATGAAATAGCATGTAGCACAGTATCTGGCATATAGTAAGTGCCAAATAAATATCAGTTTTGTGCCTTCCTTATCCAAATATATGCTATACAGAAAAAGGATAAGGTAGAATTTTAAGTGACTTTTTTTTTTACACATTGGTCCATGCCAAGCAGTAAAGTGGACTGGTTAGTTGCAAATGTTAACGTTTGCATCTAGAAATCAGGCTCAAACGAATTCAATTTCTTTCCACAAGGTCAGAACTTTGAGAACATACTTTATTAACCTTATAGCTGTATCATATAATGAAAAAAATTTTCTGAAGGAAAAAAAGGAAAAGACTCCCCTGGAATAATACTGTTCTTCACACTATCAACTCAAACATTCTAAATTTGATTTTCTTATAAAAGATTTATAGTATTAGTCTGGCTAACGTAATTTTAAATGAAATTCTCATGATTCTGCCAGTCTTAAAAACATGATTTCTTAAAAAAAAAATTTAGGTAACATATCAATGTCTTTTCTATTGATGAACAGCGTTTCGTTTAGGTTTAAAAATACGATCCAAATTGCAAAATACTAAGCACCAATCGTAAGCACTATTACAACTCTGCTTGCGTTAAGCGGAGCAAGTAAACACTTTATACAGCAGTGGAGGTGACTAGGAAAAAACTGAAAAGCGATTTAAACTGATTCCCCTCCCTCTCCCCCTCCGTTATACCCGAGAATGCAAGTGTCCCGCATCTCAGATCAAACTGAGCCTGGGTCTTACTGACGTAACCAGTAACCCTATCCACCTCTCACACTGCGGAGGCCGGCAGGGCAGCGGCTGCGGCCAAGTACACCACTCATCAGAGCCTGTCCCATTCCACCCCCGCGTTTCAGTCATGCTTTCCAGAAATGGGGTCACTCACTCAGTAACTATTACACACACGCAGTCTATCATCCTGTAATCCCCCAAAGTCCGCTGCGGGGATAGAAGACAGCAAAAAGTCAGGAAGGAAGAATCACAGACGCGCCACCATCAGGAATTGATTTTCCACTCGAAGAGGAGCGCTGCTGCCCTGAAAGGGGTCTTGTCTGGGTTATTTTCGCAGACCCCGTGTTGGTTCTGGGGCAAGGGGGGGCTGCGAAAAGCTCGGTGCTCTTGTGTGCGGGAGAAATTCTATTTTGCCCTGTTTGGGTATATCTGGGTTTCTGGCACTCGGGTGGGTGTCTCGGGGACGGTCACCAGATCCCGGGCGAGGAAAACCAGAAAGCCCTTTACGACGGCCGCTGATCTTGAATATCACCCTCTCATCTCCATGGACAGGAAACTCAAGTTAAACTCGCAGGGACCGGGTTCTCGATCGAGCTCAGCGACCTCAAAAACGGGGTGGGGTGGGGGTGATGGAGGACCTCAGGCTTCCACTTTCTCCTTCGCAGCAGTACAAACCGCTGCGGCAGATGGGGGGAAGCAAAAACCCTTGGCTGTCCTGCACCCCAACCCGAAACCCCCACAGGTCGCTATCCCTGCCCTGGGCCGTTCTTGCCCCCGCGCGCCAGTCTCCCCGAAACAACCCAGTCCCTGGGCCGGACTCGAGAGTCCCTTCTCCCTAGTGAACCCAATTCGTACTCCTCGCTCATCCTTCAATGCCACCAGGGTCCACGGTAGCTTCCAACCAGGCAGGGCCAAACTTCCTAACTCTTCGCCGGCCCCCGCTCCGCCTCGCACTTCCCCCACGCAAAGTTGATTAAAATCGGCTTCTTGCAAAGCCCCAGCGCCCACTCCAAACCCCACGCGCCACCACACCACAGCCCCCCTTGCGAGGGAGGGGAGGTGAGGGTGCGGGTGGGAGGAACAGAAGGGCAAACGGACCAACCCCAACTACCCGAACCGGAATCCCGGAGCGAGGGGAGACGCGAGAGGCAGAGGAAGGGGACGAGTGGCCAGCTCCGGGGAGGGAGGCCAGCCGGCGGGGGCGACGGGAGGGGGCGCACCGGCCCCCGCCACCCGGCTGCACTCACCTCCGCGCTGTCGGACGGGCTCTCCACAGCCATCTTCTGCCACGGGTCCGCCAGCTGCGCCAGCGGCATCTTCCCCCCCGGCCCGCCGCCTTCACCGCCTCCTCCCTCCCCGCCCGCCCCGCGGCCGGCCCCACTCAGTCGCCGCCCGAGCCCCACGGCAGCGGCGGCAGCAGAAGCAGCACCAACAGCAGCAGCGGCGGCGGCGGCAGCAGCAACAGCGACAGAGGCTGCCGGGGAGAGGGCTCGGCGTCCGACACCGACCCTCGAACACCGCGCGCCCGCTGGAGACGCCCGCGCGCCAAGCGACAGCCTCGCGCCGCTGCCCGGCACCGGGTCTCGCCCCTTTCTTCCTCTCCTCCTTCCGCCGCGGGGACTACAGCTCCGCCCCCCGCCGCGGGTTCCCGCGCCCGCTCCCAGCAGAACAGCGGCTGCCGCGCGCTCCCCTACTTCCGCTCACAACATGGCGCCTAAGCGATACCTGTCTCTCAGAGCGAGGCTCGGCCACCGCCGCCACCGCGCGCGCACCCGGGGGCGGGGCTTTGTGAAGACACGCCCCCGGTCGCCACGCTTTGCTCCTCCCTCCTTCCTCGCCCTAGCCTCAGCTTCTGGGCCTCGCCTACTTTCAGGAAGGGCGAGCCCTAGAGATCTGGGGGCGTCGGCGGGGGAAAGAAGAGAGGGGAAAGCAGGAGGGGCGAAAGGGTGGGAGCTTTTGAACAGCCTTGGGTCCGAGCAGGTCGGAGGCTCCTTGGGGATGTAGCGAACAGTGGTACCCACCCAGATGAGGGAGATAGGAGAGGCGCAGGGGGCACAGTCCGGTGCCAAGGACCCGGGGAGCGGCTATGGGGTGTCTTTTCGTCTTGACTCCTGCGTGGGTGTATGTGGGTGCGCCGAGTCTATGGGTACATCCTGCAATGGCCAGGACCTGCCCTCTCGAGGGTCACACGCTGTGCATTCACCTCCCCCCTCCCCCCCGTACACACACACCGGGGACACTGAAGGCTTAGTGCCTGTGAGAACCCTGGGGGCTTCGCTCTCGGTTTGATTCAAGGCTCTCCATATTAACGCTCGTGTTATATTTTTAATATTTGGAATTCATTCGTCTTCCATGAGTCGTCCCCCCCCCCGCGTCCCCCGCCCAAGTCCGCAGAGCCCTCGGGCTTCAGCCTCGACCCTTACTTAAATCTCCCCACTCCTTGCAGCCTAAATCTTCATGAAGGAGAAAACAAGGAGGTTCCATAAAGCTGCCCGACTCTCGGCAGAGATTGGGGAATTATTCTAAAATATCTTGTTGGCAGGAGTCCGGGGTTCCTGCTCCTCTGTTGACTCTAAATAAAAGATTAAATTAAAAAAAAAACCAGGCAGGCTGTGAGTGGGGATGGGAGAGAGGGAGGCGTTCTAACTCCTGCCCAAGATAAGGAAGCCCTGGGTTCAGGAAACCCAATCCCCAGATGGCGACGGCGCCCAAGAGGACACAGAGAGCATGTGGGGAGAGGCCTGGGTGTCTGGAGTGGGTCCTGGGGGCTGCGGTGCGACCCCGTGTGCCCCGCGCCAGGTGCCGTGGAGAGCTCAATGCGCCCGGGCAGAATTTTGCAAAAGTCGCCAGGCGGAGTGGAAAGCTAGGGCAGCCACTGGCTTATTGCCCTACAAGGAGAAGGAGAAAAGTAAAGGGAACTCTCCAGGCTGGCTAGTGCCTTCATTCCCTCAGGCCTCGGCCCAGGCGTCCCGGGCCTCCTACGCCCGGCTACCACAACGCGTTCCCCGCTGCGCTTCCAAAGCACGCCTTTTAACCGCTCTCTCTCTCTCATTATCCCGGGACCCAGACACCTGGAGAGCCCTCGCCTTCCTCCTGAAAGCAGGTGCGGGGATGAGGTTAGAGTCCCACACCTAGCCGGCCAGGTCTGCGCGGGCGGGACAAGGTTCTTCTTGCTAGGCCTAAGAGAATCAGATGTTGGGCTCTTTCTACGGCCTTAGCCCGCGAGCCCCTTGGCACAGGCCACCTGAAGAGGCTCCATCTGTTTAGGGAGCCGGAAGAGGCGACCGGAAATCCTCGCTGCGCGCCCTCTCTCGCAGCCTTGGACTCAGGGGGACAGCTCAGGGTTGAGCAACATCTGGGCAGGCTCAGTGGTCTGGGGGGTGGGGAGGATTAGCTCGTAATTTTTTCACCTCCGCCAACATGCTTGATTCGAGTGCTGCAAATCCAATCTGGACCCTAACTCGGATAATTTGGCGGCACCATCTCCGTAATTCCTGACATAAAACCAGCTTGCAGAAGTTTGAAGACAAGGAGTTGTGTATTGTTTTACATTTGTGTACAAAGTGCCTAATTTATCTTTCATTTACATCGCAAAGCCACATTACCATTCCTTATAGAGAAAAGAAGTTGGTCAATTTGGTTAGTTTAAAGTAAATTAGCCCCCCAAACAGTGATCAAATTATTCCAATTAACATTCTTGCTTTAGTGAAAACATATGTAGTTGAAAGAGACAATTATAATGTGTCTAAAACTGTCCGATGCTAATTACTTCACTCAAAGGGCGAACTAAGCTTTTTGAAATGAATCAAATTGTGTACTGAAAAGTTGATTTCAGTATCAACTTCTATTCATTTCCTTTTACCTTGAGAACTAGAAGAATACCTTTAAAAATAAAGTTAATTGATCTGCAAAAGTAATGTGAATAGTGTTCACATTGCAGGAATGAAGCATTAAATAAACTTAATGGGCTAAAGTACTACCAGCACAGCTGTCTTACACATAGGATCAACTTGATAAGTATGTGTGAATTGGCTTAGAAAAATACTATTATCATTCCTTTTGCCCCAAAAGAAAAGAAAGCATTTTTTTTCTTTTGGTCAACAATAAGCTTTTGTTTTCTTTTCTTTTCTTTTCTTTTCTCTTGTTAAGCTCAAGAGTGGGGCAACCACTATTTCTGGTTGGGAGAATCTGGGAAAATCAAATGAGGCTGGGGGATGTTTCTTGTAGGTGGCAGTAAAGGGAATTATTTGAACATAGAAGCTGGTATTGCCCTGAGCAGGATTCCTTTTTTTTTTCTGTTTAAGAAAGAAAAACTCTTGAGTGTAGTTATTCAAAGAATAGCTGCCTCTGGAGATCACCCTGTGCAGGCTAATATGGTAGCCACTAGCTACACGTGGTTCTTGAGCACTTAAAATAAGGTTGGCTGGTGGTAATTGAGATGTGCTGTAAGGGTAAAGCTCATACCAGATTTCAAAGACTTAGTACAAAAAAAGAATGTAAAGTATCACATTAATAATTTTTATATTGACCGCATGGTGAAATGATATTTTAAATATATTGAGTTAAAGAAAATATTTCTTTAAAGTTAATTCCACCTTTTCTTTTTACTTTTTATGTGGCTACTATATATAGGTGGCTTACTTGTCAAGATTAGCATTATAGTTCTATAGGACAGTGCTGCTTTAGAACTTTCCTTTAACACTGAGCCTTTTATGTATTCCTACAAGTATTCCTATAATGTGATATCCTCTCATTACAATGTCTTTTTGGGCTCCTGGGTACAAAATCAGCAGAAAGGGCTGATTCAGTTATCTACTTATTCTATCCCTCCCCCTTCTTCCCCCGCCATACCCCTTTCAGTCAGAACCAAAATATTGGAAAGTTATTACTTGAAACTACAGCAAAGGGAAACAGCAAACCTCAGTCGAAAATATGGACTAGATTTCCAAGAAATCATTCCTGATGAATGATAGGACAACCAGATTTAACCTCCTCTGTCCCCAACAATTTCCTGCTATAATTATAACCTTTGTATACAAGTTTAAATGGGCATTTACTTAACAGAATAACATTTGTTCAAAAAATGGAGTTACATCAGTCTGGAAAAGTTACAAGATGACTAACTATGGCTCATGGCACAATCTCTACCTCACATACATCCAAAATTCATAGTTCTTTTACATATAGGTTTGTCACTACTATAGAAAACCCATAAAGTGTAATCATCGTCACCTCTATGAAAAAGCTTTTCCCTTTACATTACTTGAAGCATATTCATTTTTCACACATAAAGAAAAAGTAATCACTAGAAACTATTTAACTGTTTCTTTCCAGAGAGAAAGAAAGATAAAGCTTAGGCTCAAATTTTATCTCATGTAAGATGATAATGAAACAAAATATATGGTGACATATTTTTGTGTGTGTATGAATTTTGTTTTTTCTTTCAAATTTCCCAAATAAAGTTATTATGAATATTTTCCTGATTGACACACATCTCAAGAGACAGCAGGAATTTCTACATCTATTTGCGAGAATTCAAATTTTGGAAAATGTTAAGGATCTTCTCTAGGTTCCCCTCCAGATATAAAGTTTAATGTTTCTAGAGTTGTATATGGTGAAAGATGCTCATAAAATCTATAAGGAACTAAGAGGAAGACATTCTAGGATACAAATACTTGAAATGTTTACTTTAACATTCTTCCCAGTTAGGCAATATGGGCTCATGATAAAAGCAGAGACAGGCCTGTGTCCAAACTCCAGGTTCCTTTATGTCTCTAAGCTTTAATTGGGTTTAGAACAGGGTCTGGCATAGAGTGGTCGCTCAATAAATATTTGCGGAATAAGCTTTGTTTTCCTCACCTGAAGATAAAGATAATATTAACCACCTCATAGAATTGTTGGGAAGATTAAATGGGGATGATGTCCGTAAAACATTAAGCACAGTGCCTGCCACATAGGAAGCACTCAATAAATGGAGCTATTGTTATCAGCTTCAGAAAGGTAGTATTTTTGCATACATAATGTAATTCAAATACTTCACTCTTGAAAGTTATTTCCATTTGTTCTGTGAGCATTTTATTGTGGCATAATCTATAATAATTCTTTAGGGCACTCTTGTATCACAAAAAATTATACCGTGTAACTTCCTGTGGAATTCAACAAAAGAGCATGTAGGGTAACTTACTGTTCTGTTTTTCAAGCCACATACGTTGAAATGCAAATGATTACAGGTCAGTTGCCTCATGGTCTATGATCAAAACTTTGTTTATGTAATGCTCAAAAGAAACTAACAAATGTATGATTCAAAGTTAACATTACCTGACTCATACTTATGTTGGGAGGAACAGGGAAGTATGGAGGAGAGGTCTGTGTCAGACACGCTTTAATGTTTTCTTTTATTGGTTTCCAAAATGTTTAATCCTTAGAGGTGTCATTTTGTTTCAGAGTTGTTTGAAGGGAAAGAATTATGGGGCTTTGAGACTTGACAAGGAACTGAGAAGCCATTCTTGGAGCTTTAATAAGCTACTGTTTTTCTTCAGTTTTCATTTTACTAGAACTGAAAAGACCCACAAAATGTTCTTGTTTATAAACTTTTATCCATAAGAGAGAGATAATACATTAAAATTTCATTTTCAAACTGATATTAAAACGGCTGCCTTAACATTAATCAAAAATCATAGTATACAGTATTCCCTCAG